ACACTTGAAAATAGATTACAATGACATTTCTAAGAGATTCAAAATGTTTTCCCTTCAGCATATGGCACAGATCTCTTTGGGAGGTGCAGGAAATTCAAAAAGTGATTAAGAAGTCTCTTGCGAAAAGTACCTCGAGAGTTGCAAAGCTCTGGCAGGCCATCTGGTAGAACACGAGGCAGATTCTATACAGGGTAGAATTAGAAAAAGAATACAAAATAAAACTGTTAACCGTTCCTATTCTATAAAACCATAATTCAAACACATCTGGTATAGCATGTACAGGTCTGGCCATGGTGCCTCAAAAAAGATGTTGTAAAGCTGGAAAAGATACAGAAAAGGGTAACCCAGATGATCGGGGGACTGAAACAACCTTTAAATGTACATTGGATAAATTCATGCAGGTTAGAACCATCTGCCAGCGGCTATATGTTGCCTCCATTCTCTGTGATAGAGCTGCATGTTAGTGGCTGGTGTTCTGCTAATCCCACATAATTAAATGGTGTGGTTTGCTACCACAAGATGTCATGATTGATTGATATGCTGCCTTTCTGCCAAAGAATCCAAGCCATCAGCTTTTAGGTACCGTGTTTCCCTAAAAATAAGACAGGGTCTTATATTAATTTTCGCTCCAAAAAACACATTAGGGCTTATTTTCAGGGGATTTTTTTTCCACGTACAACGATCTACATTTATTCAAATACAGTCATGTCATCTTCATCTGGTTGCTGCACAAGGGTGGAGAACGGGGTTTCCCTTCACTGGGGCTTATTTTTGGGGTAGGGCTTATATTACGAGCATCCTGAAAAATCATACTAGGGCTTATTTTCGGGGAAACTGTAGCTTTGGAAGAGGATTATACAAACTTATAGAAGACAAGACTAATGAGGATTGGTTGTTGTGGGTTTTTCGGGCTCTTTGGCCGTGTTCTGAAGGTTGTTCTTCTTAACGTTTCACCAGTCTCTATGGCAGGCATCTTCAGAGGACTGGAGTAGGAACTTAGATCCTGACCGTGAAAGACTTTGCGAATACTAATGAGGATTATTTATCATTATATCGATGTTCAACATTCCATAAGCCAACTCGAAAAATAGGGGTGCCCCAAACAAAAAATTGCAATTTTCACACTTGCTGAATAACAGCTCTGACAGTTGATTTGTATTTGGGTGAGAAGTGGATAACTGATGAAAAAGGGAATGAGTTTCTGAGATCTTCCTGTGTGTGGTGTTACTTAGTAAGTGGTAGTGAACAAAAAAAAGGGCAGATTGTAGACAATCTTGACTGCTGCCATCGGTGCTGTCAATATTCAGGCTGTTCTTTGCTGTGTAAAACTTGGCATCCCTTTTTCCTGCTGGCAATGCGGGCACAGTGTTATGCAGCAATATTGGGCCATTTCCAGGCTTTATGAATCATGAGTAGAGAAGCACAATATCCCACGTTCATAAACCAGAGGCTTTTTGAAGAATTGAATCCTTATACACATGCTTGGGTGGGTTGGTGCGTGTGGGATTGTTACCAGTGAAATCAGAGGGAATTGGAAGTACAGTGGTGCCTCGCATAACGAGCACACAGTTTAACGATGAATCCGCATAGCGATCTATTTTTTGCGATCGCTAATGCGATCGCATTGCGATGTTTCGAATGGGAAAACATTGCGTTGCGATGATCGGTAAGCATTTCGCTTACCGATCTTCGCATTGCGATGTTTTTAGAACAGCTGATCGGTGGTTCCAAAATGGCCGCCGGGTGCCGAAAATGGCCACCGCAAGCATTTCCGTGCGGTTTCCTCGCTTACCGAGGCGGCGAAAAATGGCGGCGCTATGGAGGATCTTCGCTGAACGGTGAGTTTTCACCCCATAGGAACGCATTAAACAAAGTTTAATGCGTTCCTGTGGGGTTTTTAGTTCCGTTTAGTGACGATTCCGGATAGCGACGATTAATCCGGAACGGATTAACGTCACTATGCGGGGCACCACTGTACAAAATAACACAAACTGTCGTCCGCACTATAGGCATGAGCAAACAGTAATTAAATGATGATGCAAGTAATTCTTGCATTGATGACCAATCAATACAAATACTTTAATAATCAGCCCTTTCTTTCATCAGTCTGCTGTGGCATTTCAGGCATAGGAGAATAGAGCAAGAAGAGAATGGTCACTGCGTGGAAAATCAGTGGTATTTCTGGGCACGTACTGTCGCTACATTGCGGACACCATGCTTGGGAAAGTCAAGATTGCAGCAAACTTCTGGGCACGTACTCCTGTCGCTACATTGCGGACAGCATGCTTGGGAAAGTCAAGATTGCAGCAAACACCCTTCAAAGCTTTTTCAGGAGGGTTGCAGGAAATCTACCGAACCCTTCCCTCTCCCACTGTTATCCAAAGGGCTTCCTTTCTCCCTTACCCCCCTTTTTGTAGGCCCAAGACTGATAACATTTTGTGTGTCCCCATCCATGTGCATTCTAGCAGATTCTTGCCATCCCTGCTTTGAGCAAGAGCTGGAATTCATATCTTCTGCCTTCTGAAAAATAAATGAATTGAGATCTCCTTCAAATGGTGCAGCACATTAACCTGTCACTGTGAGGGCACTCTAGAAACATGTCAACATAAAAAGTGAAATGAGGCATTTGATGCTTCACTGCATTTCTTTTTCCTGTGATAGGGTATTTCTTCCAGCACAGTGACTGAAATGACCTGTGAAGTTCCAGGTAGGACAGGAAACATAACTTCAGACGTGTTGCCTACATGTGTTCTAAACAGGAGAGATTCTGTTTTAGGCGCTGAACTGAGCTCACATATTAACCGAAAACAGAGAGTGTTATAGTACTGTAACGACTAACAAGCTTTTGACACAACAGACTAACATAGCTATCCTGCCAGAAATAAAAGTGTTTTTCCTACCTTCATAATTGTTGTTGTTTAGTTGTTTAGTCGTGTCCGACTCTTCGTGACCCCATGGACCAGAGCACGCCAGGTGTCCGACTCTTCGGGACCCCATGGACCAGAGCACGCCAGGCCCTCCTATCTTCCACTGCCTCCCAGAGTTGTGTCAAATTCATTCTGGTAGCTTTGATGACACTGTCGAACCACCTTCATAATAAAGGTGCTTAAATAATAATTCTGTACCATATTTATTCTCAGCTAGTAGGACTAGAAAGGTTGAATTCTGCAACTGATATACTTTTTTCCAGGCCTATCTGTTTGATACCACGAACAAGAGCTGTGTGGATGTAGAGGCAGTGTGGGTTTTGTTTGCACAAACAATCTAGATACCTCAATTCTTAACGCTAGTAAGTTCACAAAGGGGCTTTGTCGTCGTTTAGTTGTTTAGTCATGTCCGACTCTTTGTGACCCCATGGACCAGGGCACGTCAGGCCCTCCTATATTCCACTGCTTCCCGTAGTTGTGTCGAAGAGGCTTGCAACATGTCAAATGAACAAAACAATAAGAGTCCTGGAAGCATTTGTAATACTGTTGTTGAAAAGTAGGATCATTCAAGGGACCGTCCATATTACATTTCCATGTATTTCAGTTTGGAAAAGGTTGTGCTTTTTAACCTGGATTCAGTAAGAGCAAAGTGGAAAAAAACTGAAAGTGAATATCTTACCTCTTCAGTGGCCGCACATGCAAAAAAAGGCTGGTACATTTGATTTATCATCCAGCAGAAATGTACCTTGGGAGCATATTAGACCTCAGCTCATTTTCTGTGCACTTGCCATAGCTGTTGCTGATACTGCAGAAGGTGGTGCAGTGGTGCCTCGCATTACGACGTTAATTCGTTCCAGCGAAATCGCTGTAGAACGAAAATGCCGTAATGCGAAAATAAAAAGCCCATTGAAATGCATTGAAACCCCTTCAATGCGTTCTAATGGGCTGGAAACTCACCGTCCAGCGAAGATCCTCCATAGGGCGGCCATTTTCGGTGGCTGTCTTGCAAGAAATCTGTCCCAGAAAACAGCGGGGAGACATTTTATTTACCCGGCGGCCATTTTGAAACCGCCGATCAGCTGTAGGAAAATCGTAGTTTTGCAAAGAATCGGTTCCTGAAGCAGGGAATCGATCATTGCAAAGCGAAAAAACCCTATTCAGACCATTGTTTTGCGATCGCAAAAGTGATTGCAAAAACATCGTAACGCGGTTTCGTCGTAATGCGGAGCAATTGTAAAGCAAGGCATCACTGTAATCCCAGAGAGTATCCCTTTGGGAACAGAAATTCTTTATGGAAAATATGGTTCTTTCTTCACGAAGGAGTCTGTATTATATTTTATGTACATAGAAAACACATTCACGTCTCAATATCTCCTTACCAAGGTCTGTATGGGATAAAGACAGACAGTATCCCTTTGGGAACAGAAATTCTTTATGGAAAATATGGTTCTTTCTTCACGAAGGAGTCTGTATTATATTTTATGTACATAGATAACACATCCACTTCTCAATATCTCCTTACCAAGGTTTGTATGGGATACAGAGTCTTAACAGATTCCACTAATGTCCATAAGCAGGACAAGAGTAATACGAGAATGACTATCAACAAATGTGTACATCCCAGCCTACCCAGAAGCAAGAGTTTTGCAGGCACATATTTTAATTCACTTGTTCTTAACCTTGGGTTACTGTCCCAGCCAACCAAGAAACAAGAGTTTTGCAGGCACATATTTTAATTGATGTTATAATTCTGCACCACTCAAGTGTAGATGTACCATCAAAAATGGGTCAGAGATGCTAGACCAGGAAACCTTAGTGCCTTCAGCCTTTATAAGAGAGTAAAACAAACCACTGTTTTAATTGATGTTATAATTCTGCACCACTCAAGTGTAGATGTACCATCAAAAATGGGTCAGAGATGCTAGACCAGGAAACCTTAGCGCCTTCAGCCTTTACAAGAGAGTAAAACCGGGTTAAATTCAAAGACATGGGATGAGTTTGGGCAACAATATGTATTCATCATCTTCTTAAACAAGTACAGGTTTTAAGTCTTTTTGCTGTTTTCTCTTGCAGCTGAAAACGGTATCTACCATGACAGCCAAGGAAGGAAGAAGAAGGTCCTTTAGTGCCCTGGTGGTGGTTGGGAATAAAAAAGGGGCTGCTGGTAAGTGAACTTGCATCCAGAGGCAAGATTAAAATTCATAGGTGGATGTTGGATGGAAGCCAATGAATGTCTAAACATTAGCACAAACTTCCCAATGATGAGAGCAGTTCAACAGTGGAACAGATGACCCACAGAGCAGGAAAAATTTGCAGGAAAAAAATTTAAACAAATACTAGCCATCCAGTGGCTAGGTATGTGATCATTGGTCGGTCAATTGGTTGGTTTTATAGCCTGACTCTCTCCTTATAGCAGGACTCAAGGGGACTAATACAATTCTCCACTAAAGAGAGGTTTGGACTTAAGGCAAAGTGGCCCAAAAGATCACTTTTTAAAATTCTGTTATTCTATTCATGTTTCATTTTCAGGAAGCAGTTGGGCACAAATGTCTCACTTCGATACAGAAGAGCTGGTTTAGTATAGCATTCCCTGATCTGCATTTATGCGAATAACAGAATTGACCTATATTAGAAGCGTTGATATAAGGATTATTAAAATATCTGTGAAATGTTTTGAATACTAGAGATATAAATATTATGTTTTGTTGTCATTTATTCATTGTTCTCCAGTGTCACTTACCAAACCCATAGGCAGCTTGCAGTACAAGCAGGCCATTAAGAAAGTTAAAGCCGTTTTTAAAAGTAAGAGAATTAGAAACAGTGGAAGAACCATTCAGCAGTAGCATCTGACACCTATAGCGGTCCCATGGTGTAGAACTTTCCACTTGATGCAGGAAGGGAGCTAGAAGGAGAAAGCCATGGGTGGAACAGCCTCATAGAGAAAAATGGCAGAGAAATTATTAATACGGTGGTGCCTCGACTTACAAACTTAATTGGTTCTGGAACTCCAGTCATAACTCAAAATTGTCGTAAGTCAAAGCACTATTTCCCATAGGAATGCATTGAAATGAAATTAATCTGTTCTGGCCGAAGAAAAAAATCACCAGACAAAACAAAACACTGCAAGACCTATCAGAAACCTGATTAATTCATTCCAGCCAAAGGGGGGGGGGGGGGGGGAACAAACAAACCATGCAAGACTCTTCAGAAATGCAAAAAAAAAAAAAAGCCAAGCAGAAAGCAAACAAAGTGTGCAAGGCCCATCGGAAATGCAAAAAAGCAAAGCAGAAAGCAAACAAACCTTTTCTTTCTGCTTTGTACTTCCATTAATTGGAAGACCAATCAGAAATGGGGGGAAAACAAAGCAGAAAGCAAAAAAAGTGCAAGACCCATCGGAAATGGAGGGGAAGCCCATTGGAAATGGGGGAAAAACGAAGCAGAAAGAAAAAATGTGCAACACCCATTGGAAATGCAAAAAAGCAAGGCAGAAAGCAAACAAACCGTGCAAGACTCTTTAGAAATGCAAAAAGGAAAAAGGAAAAAAGCAAACAAACCCCACAAGACCCATAGGAAATGGGGAGAAAAACCAAAACGCAAACAAACCCCGCAAGACCCATCAGAAATGGGGGAAAAAACTAAACAAACAAACCCTGCAAGACCCATCACAGCATAGAAACATAATCCCACCACCCAGCCCAAAACCACCTCTGCCTTTTTCTGCTCGTAACTGGAAGCTCTGGCTGCAAGTCGAAGCAAAACTTTGTGGCCAGAGCTGGTCATAACTCGAAATGGTTGTATGTCGGGATGGTCATAAGTCGAGGCACCACTGTACCAACTATATTAGCCTCGTGTTTTTGTGGCAATCCTGTCGAACATTAGTTCACATGCCCTTGTTGAGTATTTTAAAATGGCAGCAAGCGAGACCATTAGAATTGGCAGTTAAGTGGATATAACTGTGGACCATGGCCCTTATGTCTGGTCTAGCTCCCACTGCCCCTCCCGAGAAGGTTGAGAGGCTTTCAATTAATGAAAGTGCTGTGCAGAAATAATAGTGATGCCCTATCGCAGGAGTCCAAACCCCAGGAAGCATCCCGCCCCAACCAAGGTACACTTGTTCCTTCTTTGCTTGCTGAGCTGTGCCTTTCTGTCTGTTTGGTAGTCCTGGCCTCAGTTGCACTCAGTAAATATCCCCATGTCAGACGTAAACTAATTACCTTGGGAGGCAGCGAGCGCTCCTTTGCTAGAAGCATTCAAGGGAAACCACCTGTCAGATCTGTTGCAGTTGCGATCGCAAAACAATCTTTTAAATGGGTTTTTTAAGCTTTGTGAAGATCAGTTCCCTACTTCGGGAACCAATTCTTCACATTACGACGATCAAAACAGCTGATCGTCGGGTTTTCAAAATGGCTGCTGGGTGCTCAAAATGGCTCCCCGCTGTGTTTTTGGATTGATTCCTCACTCTACAGGCACCGAAAATGGCCACCCCTATGGAGGATCTTCGCTGGACAGTGAGTTTTTCAGCACATTGGAATGCATTGAACGGTTTTCAATGCGTTTCAGTGGGCTTTTTAATTTCACTTTACGACGTTTTCGCTCTACAGCAATTTCGCTGGAACAAATTAATGTCGTTAAGCGAGGCACCACTGTATCTTGCGAGGCAGCGAGCGCTCCTTTGCTAGAGGCATTCAAGGGAAACCACCTGTCAGATCTGCTTTGATTTGGATGCTTGCATTGGGTAGGGGGCTGGACTCGATGACCTTATAGGCCCCTTCCAATGCTATGATTCTATAAACATCCACTGAAATTAGGTTCCTTGGACCATTTGCACCGTGACTATAACAGATCAAGTACTCTTTTTAAAGAATATCTGATCTGTTTAGGAGCTTCTGAGTATGCTCCACAGCTCTCTTCTTTGTTTTGCATCATTAGGGTTCTTGCGCTTTCTCCATCTCACTTTGGTGATTTATATTTCTGTTGCACACTTTCTGTATATACTGACCACGGCTTTTGAGTGTGTGCCTGTGTACGTCGTCTTCTCTATTTTGTACACACATTATTTTGGAAGTCCATCATGGGAGGGGTAGAACAATAAAGGTACTGTAGAAAGAAACCACAGCTTTGCCCGAAGCAGGAAAGTACCAAGGAGGCAGTTGGAGAGAAGCTTTTGCCCCAAAATGGAAGAATTATCCTTGCCCTCTTGATGTGAAAGGATGTTTTAAGTCTTTGTGGGAAGGTTGCTTTTTCTACGTGTCAGCAGTTTCCTTGGAAATACTCTTTAACACAACCTTGAAGAAGGAAACTCCAGTCTCTTGTAGCAGGATTGTAGCAAACATTAGGCACCAGTTTATTTTTCTTCAGTAAAAATCAAGCAGTGCTTCTGAAATTATAGCACAGCAACAAAGCTAACAGTGTGTGCCAAATTCTCAAGATAGATTCCAGTACTGTATAGATTCCTTTGTCTTTAATTACTCTTTGGTAGCTAACAGCACTCTGTTACATAAGAGCCATACCTTGTGCTAACCTTTATTATATGATTATAATAAAGGTTTTAAACCTTTATTGAACAGAAAGAGGTATTTGAATTAATCAAGCAATCAAATGCAGATATAGCCAAGTTATTCCATGGAGGGAAGGGAGAAGTTGGGAATCTGGTATGTGCCTTCTAGTTCCTTAGGTCCATCTGCAGCAGATTTGACCATGTTATATTTTGGGGCTGCAGTTCCAGAATTTGTTTATTTGTTTGTTTATATCCCGCCCATCTAGCCCATTGACCACTCTGGGCGGCTAACAACACTTAAAAATAAAACAATTTAAATATAACAACAATATACAACATCAGTAATCAATTGTTCAATATGGAAAGAAAAGAAAAAAAGGAAAAAAATAAATCAAATAGTGGCTGGGGGGAAGGCCTGCTTAAACAGCCAGGTTTTCAATTGGCTTTTGAAAATGGCCAGCGAAGCATTTCCACTGCCTGCGGTGGCTGTGAGATTAAGGGAGTTGTAGTCCAAAAGGACAACCCTCTCCACATCAGATCTGCAGTTCTTGGAAACTCTTAATTTCATCGGAGGAGGACTTGAAGTAGGACCGTTATCTCAGTACCACACTTGCCTGTGGGCTAGGTGGGAGAAAAAAATGTGCAGATAAGAGCATGCCTCCTTTTTTTGTGTGTAAATGTTTGCAGGCTTCCATTTATTGTATCTGATTGCTAACGAAACTTGCTTTTATCTCCTAGGTTTTGCACTGGGGAAGGCCAATGTAAAGCAGAATGCATTGAGAAAGGTATATAGTTCCGACAGTAAATGCAGTCTATTGTAATTAAAATTCTGGCATTAGCTATCTCCTCTTGATGCATGAAATATACTGTGCTCTAGTTCTTTCCTCCCTTGAATATGTATGGAGTCTATGAGGGAAATAGGCACCTGCTGTATGTCAGCTGAAACTACTAGCCCAGTATTTTCCACCCTTGACAGCTATGGGACACTTTGATCCAATAAATCTTACTAGTTCACTGTTGCAGGATGAAACCAGGTTTTCTGAAATATGGGGAGGCGTCCCATCCTCGAGTCTTGTGTTGTCAGTGCCTGCAAGCAATCTCTGTCTCTCTCTCTCTCTCTCTTTCTCTCTCTCTCTCTCTCTCTCTCTCTCTCTCTCACACACACACACACACACACACACACACACACAATGTTCAGCCCATTCCCCCATAACTAACATACCATAACAGATGGACAGATAACCGTGGTAGTTTTTATTAGATATAGTTAGGTGGTACTTCATTACATCATTTAAATCCCTTTGAATTTATTTATTTCCCCCCCACACACACATAGACACTCACACACTATAGTACCTAATTGGTGGGAATAGATTTATTGTAATGCTTCTTTTTTTATATTTTATTTGATTTAGCTATCAGATTGAAATAATACTTTCTTGTAATCCTTTGTTAATTTTTCATAAAGTATCTTCTTGCCCCTCCCCAGGCAAAGAACAAAGCCATTCATAATTTACACTATATTGAAAGATACAATAATCACACAAGTAAGTATTGTGATTTTAGAATCATTCTTTTATTTAAATGTTTAAAAGTAAAATATTTGCATGACCTGCATATATTGAAATGGTTCCCATTCTTTCAAGCTATTTGTCTCAGAATCTCATTTCCAAAACCTTTGGATCAACTGAAGAAATTGGCCCAGTTCAGATATATTGAGAAACCATGATTTTCTGCTACATGTGCTAGCTATAGTAAGTCTGGCTCTCATCCCCTTTTGTCTCTGCAAGGACCAGATTAGGAGCATTTTAGTTGAAATCATGTGCTGAGAAACTGCAGCCCATTGTGGTTTAGGCATCTGGTTGGGAGATGGATTCCCCACTCTGTCTCCTAGATAGAGGCTGGACTCAGTGATCTATAGGGTCCCTTCCAGCTCTACAGTTCTAAGATGTTGATGTTGTTGTTGTTGCATGCATTTTGCTCCCTTTGGAGTCCAACAGTGCATCCGTATGCAAGAGGAAAAGAAAAAAAGATTGCTCCCCTCCCCAACCTGGTGGAATTGTCTCATCAACAGACTCCTGGTTGAAAGGTTGGGTAGGATTTAGGCCCTGGGCATTTGACCAGTCACATCAAAGACAACATGCTGCAAGAGAAAAAGCATTGCACACTTGCCGTTAGATAATTTTTCTTGTTAATTTTATTTTCTCAAAATTATAATGTTTTGATGTACATGGCCACCCAGGTACTTGTGGAGTTGATGTCTTCTATCTTTTGCTCATCTGTTGACATATTTTGGTCTGGTATCAGCCAAGGAAAATGCTGGGGCTAGTATTTGACCCCAGGCCTGCAAGGATACATATCCCAGTTAAAACTAATCTCAAGTAGTCATGACAACTGATCTTGGATTACTCTGGTGTGATGAAACTATGGTTAAGGAGAACTAATGGCGGTCACACTGTAAACCCTGATTCACTTAAATGGCTCACACTTGCAGAAGTTCATATGTTACTGCAGTGGTTCTTAATCTTTGTTACTCGGATGTTTTTGAACTGCAACTCCCAGAAACCCCAGCCAGCACAGTTGGTGGTGAAGGCTTCTGGGAGTTGCAATCCAAAACTCCTGAGTAACCCAAGGTTAAGAACCAGTGTGTTACTGGGAACTGTGGTTAGTTTAACACTATAAGTGAAAACTTTTTAAACATTGTAATAAAAACCAGTATCATAGCCAAGGGTTGGCTTATGCATGCACATTTGTTCATTTATTGGGTATATAATCTACTCTTCTGCCATCATGGAGTTCAGTCAGTCATGCAGTAGGTCAGAAGGACCCAAAATAATTTCCACTACCATGTCAGGAACGTGTTCATGTTATTAGTTTTTTTAAATTATTACCACCTGTATAATTGATTAATTCATTGTTCACAGTCTCTGGTTGGCTGTTAGAAGCAGTTATTGCGAATTGTCTGTCTTTTTAGAGTCATTTACAAAATCAGCTTAAATTTTTCTGGCTCTACGTCCTTGCTGATCAGATGCATGACCACATAGTACCTCTTTGGGGCCTATGACTAAGGGACTGTAAAGCACATTGTGGAAATTAAGGCGGTGTCCTTACGGGTTTTCAGAGAAATCTGTGACCTAGCTGCTCACCCAACCTAAATACTTAGCTTCAGCAAGACAGTTGCCTTCTGTAACTTGACCCCATGTCCTGTTTGGTATTTGATAGGTGACTGCACCTGTCTCAAATAAAGTGTCACAGATAAAAGCATCACATCTCAGGCACAGGTAGCGGTGAGAGAGAGTCTTCCTGGGAGGGCACCCCATGTATGGATCTCTCTGTCCCAACAAGATTCTTTGGTGCCTTCACAAAAGCAGAACTCAGGAAAGAAGGTTGGGCAGTTTCGCCTACAGCTTGCAAAACCTACCACTCAGCTGACTCAGAGATTCTGGGACTTGCAGAACAATAGCAGATGAACAACACAACAATATTTGGCAATTGTTTTAATATTTGGCAACAGTTTGCTTAACACTATTTTCCTTTCTATTAGTTTATCATGATATTTCAAGCACTTTTCACCAAACAACCATCCGGATGAAGAAGCAAAGCAAGGGTAAGTGAAAGGTTTAATGCCCTGGAATTTAAAAATGTTCTGTTCTGATTCAGTGGAAGAGTATTTTTTTGACATAATCTTCCATGTAATATGAAGCAGAAGCTGCTAATATTCAAGCCCATTAACCTAGAACACCAATCAGCATGCTAAATTAATTAAATTTAAGTTCAGTGAGCAAAATGTAATTCCAGATGTACTGAACTTAGGACGGCTTGCAAATAATAAAAATGGGAAAAGAGCCACTGATCGAAGCATCGCTAACAATGTTACAGGCATTGTACCATAGCCAAGTATGTAGTGAATCACCCATCGATATCCCACCAGCATCCATCTGATCTTGATAGAAGGTCACATAAAGAAGTAAAGATTAGCAGGTACCCAATATAAAGTGTGCAGACCTGAGTGATACAAAGAAGGTGGCAGGTTAGCCAGTGCATCTTGAGCTTCTTCGAGTAGAAGACTGATTTCAAGTATTTCAGAAAATAATAATAATTTATTGTCATTGTAAGTATATACACATACAACGAAATTCACATGACAGGAATGACAGGAATCTTCCACAAAGGCAGTGGTCATACAGATATATAGACCATACTGGTACAACACTGGTTGTAAAAGGCAACATTCCTTCTAACCAGTAGCACTCCATCCCTGAAATCATGGGACAGAATGCAAAGACTGCTATCTGAAGGATGAAGTCACTGTATGCAGAGGTAGGATTTTGCTCACATTGTAGGGGGAAAAAACTAGCAGTAACTCAAGGTGTACATGTTCTGAGGTCTGCATTTATGAAATAAGTCTGTAGTCATGTTTATAGATGATATTACAGAATGTGTCATTGGGTTTCTGAGAATGTAGCTGTCTAAGACTCTTTTTTTTAAATTTTAACTGGATTAAGAAGCAGGATTGTAGACCCTGTGGGTGGAAATAATAGACTTGAAAGCATGTGGACATTGCTGGCTGGAATCTCAAATTAAAGAAGGGAATGGGTGTTCGTGTGGAAAGGGGCAGAAGTATTACAGTGTCTGTGCTCTTCCTCATGATGAACAAAAGCAAACAAACAAATCCATCTGTTTCCGTGTCAACTTCAAAGTTTTAATGCTTACATATAAGGCCCTAAACGATTTAGGACCTCGATATTTGGCGGAACGCCTCCTCCCAACAAGGTCTACCCGGATCACCCGCGCGAGTCAGGAGGTGAGGCTGAGGAGCCTGACGCCGAGAGAGGCCCGGAAGGAGAAGACACGAACCCGGGCCTTCTCGGCGGTGGCTCCTCGCCTCTGGAACAATCTTCCTCTGGCGATTCGCACGGCCCCCACGCTGGGCACCTTTAAAACCCAATTAAAAACATGGCTGTTTATTCAGGCCTTCCCTCCAGCCAACTCTTGATTTTTTCTTACTTTTCCTTTTTATTTTTACTGCTGTCCTTGTTTGATTATTATGTATTTGTCTATGTTTTATTATTTGATTTTGGAAGCCGCCTAGAGTGGTCCGGTGGGCCAGATAGGCGGGGTATAAATTAAATAAATAATAAGAATAATAATAATTGAATAAGAGAAGTGGTTCAAATAACTTAATATAGTTCCACCCCAATTCTGAAGATTGTGGGCTTAACATACTCTTGATACAAAATGTGGGTGAAGAAGGTTTCACTTCTTAAGCGGAGGTTACCCAGATCTTCCTAACTACAAAGACAAATAAATACAAAGGTGATAGCAAAATTGAGCTGTGTTTGGGCAGGTTGAAGGACTGCAGATCTCCTTTCTTCACAAGATAATATGTTGATGATTTTTCATTTTGCTACAGAATTATAATGTAGTGCCCTTTTAAGGCAATAAATTTTGCTAGGGCTTTTATTTAGACTGAAAAGTTCTTCTCATGGGCCCCAACAAAAATTGTTTCACACAACATATCTCTATAATTTTTAAAAAAAATTCAAGTGTGATCTATTGTATTGTATTAAAAAGCCATCAAGACAGTTTTTCAAAATTATTGCAATCTCCAGGGCAGGCTGGATGCTCAGAAAATGAAGGAAAGGAAATCTATTATCAGACTACAGCGTTTGCTGTGCTCATGTTTCTCTCTTTTCTGTCCCTCATCCCTAATAATTAAAAAAACAAGTGATAGCCATCTAAAGTCATTTGTTCTGCCATTTTGAGTAAGCTTTGATTTCTTGTTTGGAAATAGAATCAGCTTTTTGATATAAGGGACATCTGAGTGATCTCTGAATGGTGGTTTATCAAAGATCGAAGTTGGTTGCAACCTGAACACACGCTGGATTCCCACTTTTTGCACCTCCAGTCTAAAATTGAATTTCTCTAGGCTTTTTCTAACAGACAAAAATAGCTCTGTTTGCATGGGAAACAATCAGTGCTCTGAATTTCTTTTGGATGCAGTTTGAATTAAGATATTGCTGCTGAGAAATGAAAGTTTAGTTACAGGTTGCAGAAAGATCTTTTTCTCACCCCTAGAGGGGGATGCACTCTGGACCACTTGGTTCAGGTACAGCCTTTTTCTCTGGTGAGTTGGATAGTGCTCTGAGCCTGCCACCATAGATTCCCATCTTAACATGCTGTGGACAATTGTAGAGTGCAACATGAACAATTGTAGAGCTCAGGATAGCAAGCATCAAAATGGAAGCCATCAAGTTGTATTCATATTCTGCTTCTAGACATGGAATCATTACAGCTGAGTCTTAGAACACCCTCTAAAAGTCTCCAGCAGGACTGAACTGAGTAATCTTTTTCACAACCATGCAAGGAGGTGTTTTTGAAATGCCTTTGGAGAGCTTCATGGAAGTTTTTAATCCAAAGCTTTATCTGCCCATGAAGTTTTCCCATCTGCCCAGGGCCCTTCGGAGATGCCATCTGGTGCTCAGAGATTCCACACCTTCACATCACTGGCCTTCCCAACTGGGTTGTTATGTGGTACTGAAGGGAACTAAAGGAAGATTCATGCTGTTACCTGTGCAGGTGGGTGAGATTCCACACCTTCACATCACTAGCCTTCCCAACTGGGTTGTTATGTGGAACTAAAGAAAGATTCATGCTGTTACCTGTGCAGGTGGGACCTTGGACATGGTGGCTTCTTTGCACACAGGCTCTGACTGGTTGGAGGGTTTTGTAGGAGTTACCCTTGCCCCTACCTAAGGCTCTTCATCCATTATACCAAGAGATATGTTAGTTCTTTTAGCCCAATATTCTCTACTTTGCCAGCATCTCTCCCTAGTCTATAGTAGAGGGTCTTTCCCATCACCTTACTCCATAAACCTTTCAACTGGGGAACCCATCAACTGGAACTGGAATTTTCTGCATGCAAATACTGAGCTTGTCATTAAACTTGTTCCTTCTTCTTCACCTTAGTATAAAAACAAATACCTTTCAATTGGAAAGAGTCGTTCCCAATATGTGGAGGGCCCATTCACAGTTGCAGTGATAGCTAAGCAGACCATGAGCAGTCTTGCAGGTCTTGTGGAAATACAGATTGCCCCACCCCCTGGATTGCAGCCATTATGTTTGCCAGACTCATGGCTGCAAAAACAACGAGTGCTGGGGGGTGGAGAGAACAATATTCTTAAACACCTGTGATTTCAGCCCCTTCAGCACATGTCCAGCTTGCACTTCAGCCCACTTTCAGTACTTTACCCCCCCAAATGGTTTTACCATAATGAAGATGGGACCTGTTGGGGACGTCCCAGGTTTTTGTGTATTTTTGTCTTAGTCACAACTTAAGGAGCCTTAAGTCTACCTTCAGCATTCTTGAGGAGTAGCAATGGAACCCTTAAGATGAAGAAAACAAGTGGCCCTGTAATGTATTCCTCAGACTTCATTCCCTTTCTTCTCTGTATTCCTTATGGCCCATCAGTTCATGGAGCCCTCGTGGTTCTCCCTGCTTCCCCACCACCCACTAAACTCCAGAAATGAATGCCATCCTTCTTGAAGCACTTTTGCTTTTGTAGCCGTTTCACAGCAATCATCACTTTTAGCTTCCTGAAAGCTCTGACCTCTCTTTAGTCCTGCTCCCAAGAGTCTATCCTGCTCTGTTTCTTATTCCAAGCTATTTAAGCTCCTGCTGAGATTGCCTTAATTGGAGCCTTTCTTCCACCAAGACTCAGTTATTTCAAAAAGACAAACCTTCTGTTTTGGACCACGAGTGGCTGATGACTTTAAGGCAGAGGTCCCCAACCTTTTTAGCCTCACGGACTGGCTGGGGAAGGCAGGGCATCCTACGAGTGGCTGATGACTTTAAGGCAGTGGTCCCCAACCTTTTTAGCCCCGCGGACTGGCTGGGGAAGGCAGGGCATCCCCCCTGCGTGCGCATGCGCGAAGGAGCAGGGTGCTCTCGCACGGGCGTGTGCACTCATGCGCAAAGGGTGGCACAGCACTCATGCAGGCACGCCCGCATGCAGGTGCAAACAGGCTGTACAGGGGGGAGGTCTGTCTCCGCGGCCTGGTCTGGCTCATGCCACGGAGCAGTACCGGCCCGCAGACCAGGGGGTTGGGGACCTCTGCTTTAAGGTGTTCTCTTAATCAGGAGCCTGTAAAACTTTTCTATGAATCTGAAGTTCTGTTGTTGGTATCAGTTACACAGAGGGTGGGGGGGGATTAAATGCAGTGATTCCATACATTTATCCTCCATGTTTTGCATTGTATCACATGTAGTTGTAAACAAACACTGGCAGCTTCAAATTCTATGCCATTATTTATCGTCGTCATCATAATTTCACCCAAATTTGGCAGAGTGTGCCATGCCACAGGCTTCACTGAGCAATAACTAAGTTTAAATAAGCATGAACCAATCTAGATCTGGTGTAATGAAGAGGAGACCGATTTTCAGTAAACGTTTCTTCATTTGATTCAGTTTAGGATCTGTTCAACATTTAAAGCACAGGGGTTACATGTATCCCTGATCCTATGACAACTAGGAAGAGTTTGACTGAAGTGCTGCAGACCAGCTGGACATCTATCTTTTCATCATGGCCTCGGGTGTAGATTATAAGTGCTTTACGAGTTAATGTTTGGGGGCAAATTCCTGATCACTGACACAGTCAAAAATACAGTTAAGTGCAACTGTAAAACATGTATTTGTATGTGCCATTACATAATATAGTTTTATATGTCGAGCCTTTTTACAGATAGGCAGAAGAACATGGCAGATCATGTTATGTAAAGCAGGCTTAGGAGGGAATGTAAGATAGGACTCATACATGGAGAGTTGAAAGGATGGAGGTAGGATAAAGTTTAAAGAACCACCACTGTGTGAACACCTATGTGAATAGTTATAGGATATAGAATCATAGAAAAGTGAACTTGGAAGGGGCCTACAAGGTCATCAAGTCCAACCCCCCGCTCAGTGCATGAATACAATCAAAGCATATCTTCCAGGATAACTATCGAAGTTTTTCTTGAATGCCTCCAGTGTTGGAACACTCACCAACTCCTGAGGTAACTGGTTCCACCGTCATATTTCTCTAACACAGTGGTTCTTAACCTTGGGTTACTCAGGTGTTTTTGGACTGCAACTCGCAGAAGCCTTCACCACTAGCTGTGCTGGCTGGGGTTTCTGGGAGTTGCAGTTCAAAAATACCTGAGTAACCCAAGGTTAAGAACCACTGCTCTAACAGTCAGGATGTTTTTTTCTGATATTCATCTGAAATCTGGCTTCCTTTAACTTGAGCCCATTGTTGCTTGGCCTGCACTCTGGGATGATTGAGAACAGATTTTGCTCCTCCTCTGTATGACAGCCTTTCAAATATTTAAAAGTGCTATCATGATCACCCCTCAGTCTTCTTTTCTCAAGGCTAAGCATGCCCAATTCTTTCAGCCTTTCCTCATAAGGCTTAGTTTACAGCCCCTTGATCATCCTTGTCGCCCTCCTCTGAACTTGTTCCAATTTGTTAGCATCTTTCCTGAAATGTCTTGTCCAGAACTGGACACAGTACTCAAGGTGAGGCCTAACCAGTGCTGAATAGAGGGGGAGTAGCACCTGGCAGGATTTGGAAACTATACTTCTATTAATACAGCCTAAAATAGCATTTGCCATTTTTGTAGCCACATCACACTGCTGGCTCATATTTCACTTATGTTCTACGACATATAACTAAATGAAGAGTTATAGGATATTTTATGGCTTTTTGGTGTCTCAGGTGGAAAGACTGGATGCTCCCCCCACCAGATTTGTCCCGTAATGTTTTGCCATCTTGTCCTCAGCAGTAGATGCTACTTTAATCGTTCATGGTTGTATACCCTGAGAGTTATAGTATAATTCCATGTTAATGACAGCTGCTTGAAAATGTGACAAATGTTTTTATATTTACCAACTTTGTTTCCCAGGATATGGCCTTCACTGTCACCGAGCTATCATTGCCATGTGCAAACTGATTGGTATTGAAGATATGTATGCCAAGCTTTATGGATCCAACAATCCACTGAATCTTACTAAGGCTTTCTTCAAAGGCTTAGCAAATCAGGTAAAACATATAGCGGACAATCAAGGATTTGTTTTATGGTTTCATAGAAGCAGCCTGTACTTTTGTTCACATTGTGTTTCATAAACCACTCTTTCCTGAGGAATGGGGTGTTAAACCATATCTGAAACCAACACCAGAAAATAAAATAGGTAATTCGTGCTGTGGAGAAGGAGGAAACGTCTCTTAACCATAGCTAAGGTGTTGCATTTTGGTGTTGGGATCATGCATTCTCTTTACGATGTTTCCTATGGGGGAATTTCACTTTGCGATGATCGGTTCCCTGCTTTGGGAACTGATTCTTCGCAAAATGATGATTTTCTAACAGCTGATTGGCGGTTTCAAAATGGCCGCCGGGTAAACAAAATGGCCCCCTACTGTTTTCTGGGACAGGCAGCGAAAATGGCCACCCTGTGGAGGATCTTCGCTGGACGGTGAGTTTCCAGCCCATCGGAATGCGTTTTAATGCATTTCTATGGGCTTTTAAATTTCGCTTTACGACATTTTCGTTCTACAGTGATTTCGCTGGAACGAATTAATGTCGTAATGTGAGGCCCCACTATATTTTAATGTGAGGTTTTGTGGACAATTCCCTTTGTCAGACATATGGGAAAAAAACCCACCACGTTCCTTAAGCAATAAATAAAAGCTGTGAGCAACGGTAAACTGCAAAATGTATATGAAATGAGACAGTAAACAAAGAAGTCACAAAACATTGCACAATAGTCAAACAACACAAAAACTGGAAGTAAAACCCCTTCAATACTGGGGAAAAGCCCGGTATCAATTTCTGTGATTCTCTGGGAGTGGATTTCTGTTCTTCCTTTACTTTTAAAGTTCTGTTTAATGTTTCTATTCAAAAAGATGCTAAGTCCACCTCCAGTCAACTCTTTATCCTTTATTAGCAGTGGAACCATAAGGGCTAGCAACTTAAACACACAGAGAGAGGGGGGGGGGAGAGAG